CTGCCACTTGTATCCCTTTGACCTGCAAACACAAGACCTAATTTTCCATTGTAATTTATTTTTAAATGTATGTTTTCAGAGGGCAGGGTTTTGTGCTAGAGTTTTTGTGTAGTGCCCCACGTTTTGCTTCCTGTAGTGGTTGTTAAATATGACCCGTGCACTGGAATGCCAAGAAGTGCTTTTGAAATAAAAAGAATATGTAGATCCACTTGGGAATCTAGAGACTGACGGTACTATATAGCAAATGCCAGAGGAGAGACACTGTCTCCAAGTTACATCTGTCATCAGGGACCCATGCAAGTCACGACAGACACTGCCCAGAGTCCAGACACGTACAGATGGTGGCTGTCAGGAGGTGACTCATGCTACGAATTACAGCATGAGATGTTTAGACAATAGCCAGGAAGCCCTTCTTTAGTCAACTAACTGTAAATTTAAAGGAATGGCTCATTATTTATAGCAATTTTGTTGAAATGGAAGGAAGGAAGAGTAAATTTTTATTGGTCAATTTAACCCAGTGCTCCAAGACTAAGTCAAAATTCTCATAGATTTCAAAGGGACAAATGCTCCAAATATAGGCGTACCATTGCTGACCTTTAAAAAAGGACTGAATAGCACAGCCGTCATGGCTCAGTACTTGAGCATGGACATATGAACCAGGAGCTCATGGTCTGATTCCAGGTCAGAGCACATGCCTCGGTTTCAGGCTCCATCTCCAGTAGGGTGTGTGCAGGAGGCAGCCAATCAATGAGTCTCTCTCATCATTGATGTTTCTCTCTCTCCCTCTCCCTTCCTCTCTTAAATCAATAAAAATATTTTTTAAAAAGGACTGTCTAGCCATCATATGCCGTTCACTTCCAAACCAGCTGATTTTACTCTCAAAATGTTTTACTTGTATGAAGATTCCTTTTGTTTCCTTATTTAATCACAAATGGTCATTGATGTTTGCTAGAAAAAAAGGAGAGAGACTGAGATCTGAAAAACAGGCCCACCAAGAGAGGCATTTTTAGAGTGGAGAACCAGCCACAGATGCAGAACAAAGTTATTTAGTGAAATGCTAAAGTGGCCATTCACTCAAACTCACACCTCCTGTTAGAAGCTATCTTTAATGCAGTATTGCTAGACATTGTCCTAAATATCAAAGGCTGGAAATTTCTGTGTTCATGGAATAAGGATCATGTTCCTACCAAAATGCAGCAGTATCTTTATCATCACCACGCAGGTCTCCCAGGACAGATGCCACAGTGGAAGGTGGGATCTCTATAAGCACAGTAGGTTTCTAAGTAAAAGTTTAAAGCACCCTGAACATTTGTAAATGTGAGACAAATGATGTAATGCATTAACATTTTTCACAGGGTGCGCCTTCTGGTGGATGAAGGCTATGAAGACCGAATTCTGATGGCACATGACATACACACAAAGCATCGGCTGATGAAATATGGAGGCCACGGCTATTCTCATATACTCACCAACATTGTTCCTAAAATGTTACTTAGAGGTATCAACAAGAATGCACTTGATAAGATACTAATAGAGAACCCTCAGCAATGGCTAACTTTCCAATAAGATGGTCATAAATTCACACCTTGAATATAAAGCTTACAGAGAACATTCAGTGATCTCAAACCGACTCAGATATTAATTAATCAGAGCTATATAGAACTAATGATGGGTCATTTCCTTTTTGTGAGAATTAGAAGCGTTTTGCCTTCTCAGAAACTGGCTATTACATCTGCACCTTTAGGGAGTCCCTGAGCCTCATTGAGCCCTAGTACTTTGCCTTAACAAATAATCACAGAAGCACCTGCTTCCAAACAATGAGTTACAGTCTAAATCCCTTTAGTGAAGTCTTGTTTTGTTTTCTTAATCTATCAGCTGCCCTTCTTGAGAATTTAAAGTGTTTTGAGTTAAATTACCCCCTTCTGGAGCAATCCAATGTTTCTTGTAATATTGATGATCCTACTAATTTTCCTGCTGTTCTTTAATTAATGCCTAATGAGTAAGATGGCACTTTAAAATAGCTTCTTCAGCAAGAGAAGTGAAATTTTTGAGATTTTTTTTTCAATAGATACTGTAAGACAATTACCAATTTACAATGGTAAAAATATTGTGGAAGGATAATTATATGCTGTCTACCTATCTGTATATACTTATCATAAATCAATTGTGCTGCCTATGCCTTTCTGGCATCCATTTTTGCTATACATTTTTGTTGTGCTTTGAAAAATTTGTATAAGGGGGCATGAACACATAACATAATACTGAGTTACAAAAATTCAATCATAAAAGTCAGAATATATTACATAATATACTTTAATGAATCATTACATTTATAATAACAAAGGCCACAATTTAATCAATTAATCATGTGTAATGCAAAAAAAGAGAAATGTTTGCTATATATGTATATATATATATATATATAGTCCCTTTATTTTCTATACCTTTTATTTGTTTTTCCTTGGGCCTAACTAGAGAAAATAATGCTTATTTTTCTGAAGAAAAGGTCAGGTCTATTAGAAATGACAATCTGATGCTACAGCCAACTCTCTAAAAGGTACCACCAGCCTTGGCACCCTCCTTGGAGCATGCCCATGACCTTCTCTCAGGCACGTACTATTTTTTAAAACTTGAAAGGTCCCCATGAGACTTGCAACCAGGTGAGCAGTGGATAGCGGCAGCTCATACCCAGCTCACCCCCTGAACCTGTCTCCAAGTCTCCCTTTTCTTTGACCTTTAAGTGAGCTAAAGCAGCCCGGCCCAGGTTCTTCTGTTGCTTTTTCTACCCTAAGCCCTTCCTTTGTTTCCTTTATTTCAGCTTTAATATGTACTCTCAAGATAAATAAATAAATAAATACATTTATACATAAATAAAATAAAAATAAAAGGTATCTAGCCCTGATGGTTTGTGTATATAAAGCCTTTAAAAAACTCAGTTAAAACTCTTAGTTGATGTGCACTGCTTTTTATAAGTTAATCTTTTGGTTGAATTCTCTGTTTGCTGTAACCTAAAAAGAAAACTAAAATTCTACAAACCCTGTTGCCAATTTTTTGATAATTACATGTTGTTAAATAGAAATAAAATTCATTGCAACTCCTTTCTGAGTTATCTTATATATCAGGATGGTCAAATGGAACTAATCATTATTCTTAGTGAATGGGCTAAGTGTTTTTAATCATATAATCATGACAGTTACTCAGGCTAAGGCATTTAAACCAAGCAAACAGTACCTTCAGATGGAAACACCATGCATAGCTCTTTTGGAAAGGTGAGGTTTGCTAAATAAAAGATATTTCTGCAGATCAAAGATGATCAAGCTTTCTGTGTGTTAGACCATAAAGTACCCAAGAGGAAAGAGCCAGGAGAACAAACTAATTCCTTTAAGTGAAAAAAACATGCAAATAGCCTTCACCAGTAAAACAAGCAGATTTTTAAATATCTGTTTTTGAAATCTACTTGTCAAAAAATCTTCAAAAGGCAGCTGAGAGGGGAACAGATTTTTCATTGTAATAGTGGAAGTTGTCTGATAGTTCAGATCTATCAGCATGCATTTTTAATTTTTTTTTTAGTTTTAAAGAGATGGCTTTTGGTAGTGTATTTTAAACAGAGAGAAAGGATTTATACCACTCGCAAAATCTACTTTACTGTCAGCTTCAATCCACCTGAGAAAAAAAGAAAAATTGGTAATTTTAAATGCGTATAATTCACAAACATTACAAAGGAGAGCCACTTCGTTTCAGCAGTCCTAATGTTAACGGTCTGCCACAGAATGCAGTAAAAAGTATTGATTGGCAGAGGGTAACAGAGAAGTCATAGGCTTAATTTACAGACATGTGGCACGTAGGACGTTTTGACCTAATACAATTTAATTTTCTGGATAACTCTTAAAAGAGAAGCCATTTCAATTATTTTGCTATTCCATATATTTTTGTCATCCAAAATATATTTCAACCCAAAATAATTCAAATAATGTATGTGTTTGTGTGTGCGCATATACACATATAATTGTTTCAATTAAAATTTTGAGGCTATAGCAGCCACTGTGCCTATGGTCTAAAGCCATATATATATATATATATATATATATATATATATATATATGGCCAATATATATGTGTATAAACACACACATATATATAACAGGTATCCCTATAAAATATATACACTTTGTTGTCATACTGGTTATATGGGAAATTGTTCATTTTGAAATAACCTCAGGCCACAACTTCAGTCAGTTACTATTTGAAAGCCTTACTTAGCGTCCCGTTGGTGATGCATGCAGTAGCTCAAATTAAACCTTTGTGCATTGGGTTATGAATAATCTTTTGCTCCAAAGTAGACAAAAAACCTCAGTCTGATTTAACACCAAAGAATAAATTTTTCTGACTTTCCAAGTAAATCTAAACACATTCTAGTGACAAAATGGGTACGTAGGGGATTTTCTAAATACCATACACATTACACATTTTCACACTTAAAGGGTAATCCTATGATACAATTTCAATCTCTACTTCAAAAGACTATCACCATTAAAGAGAAAAAAGAAAATGCGTAAGAAAAAGAAAATGGGAAAATAACCATAGGCTTGGGAATTCCGTCAAATCCAGGAAATTCCAGGTTAAGGCTTGAAGTTGAATCATTCCCAGGTCTAGCTCTAAAGTTCACAAGAGTACAAGGCAAACAATTTCTTTGGGGACAAGCAGCATTATTTTGATTAGACCTCCTCCTGCAGGGTAAAATCATTCCTTCCTACACTATGAATGGAATCCAAGTATCGTAATAAGCAGGTACACTCACAAGAACCAAAGCTGACATGGATAAGAGCAGCAGGATCACGGTACACCAAAGTATCATATATATTGAAGAAATAATTCAGTGTCTTAGATTTTTCTATAAAAATTTGTGATCTATATAGGACTTCATTCACATGGACACTAATAACAAGGAGTATTTGCTTTGGCGGAAGTGGATCACACATCTGCTTATCTTGCTTTTAATATTTTTTTACATAATGTTTCTGAGAATGCAGATGTGAGTCAGGTAGCATTTGAATTCCCCACATATACACAACTGAGGTGCCCCACAACTGGCATTCCCCTGGGATCCTTGATTCACTGATGTTAGCCACACGAATCCAGCGTCCAAACTCAGATTAATAAACTTAACGCCTGCATTATCAGTCAGCGTAAATGATAAATCCAGAAAATGTGCTGTATTTGTTGTTGTTCCCTCCATGGGCTTTCCCACCATCTAATTTGATGTAGACTTCGTCTCCTGGCTCCAAGTGAAGAACCACGCTGTTACTGGCATAGTCGTAATTCTGATCAGCATCCTGGGCGATTGCACTGGCACGCACCTACGGGAAACAGACAAGAATTAGAGTTCGTCAGAGAGAATCTTCAAGTTTTCTTGTAGGCCATTCACAGAGCAACAGAAGCTGACGTGCTGCCATAGCAGAGAACGGACACAGAAATGCCCACCTTGGCCTTGGAGCTTTATGTGGGTATCTTTGCAATCGTTTCAGCTGTGTTATTGGAAAGGAGGAATGGGAAGGAGGAAAGGGTGCTTTTGTGAGGGTGATTCCGGCAGTCTTTCCTTACTTCGGGCTGTCAAAGTGCATACCAATTTATTCTCTTCCTAAATCACTACTTTTTTCTAATTCTTCTATCTCTAGGCCCAGTCACTTCTTAAAGTGGAAATAACAGTAATTTCTAGCATTTTAATTTACCCAAATAGCAATGTTCTAACCTGCTGTTGATGAGCACATGAGTTCGATCCAAACTTCAGCTCTAGTCTTCACAATTACTAGAACATGAGATCCACAGTAGGTAAGGCGCCAGATAAATACCACTACTCTAACTCCTCTGTATAGGAAGAAAACAGGGAGAAACCATTTGATTCGGGGCTTTCAAATTGTAATGCAAGTAAAGGCCCTTTTACCAGAAGCTTAATTCTTGTAAACATCTTTGGCTATCTCACCCAACTTTTCAGGCTTTATTTCTTTTCTTTTTGTGCCTTTTTATCGCTTAATTGTGATGTGTGAAATTAAACAAATTATTTAATTTCAACATATCTAAAATTATAGAAGGAACTAAAAGTCCATGATTTGAAGTCTCTCAAATTGCTAGAATTTTTGAATGGTCTCATTTCGGCGAATCCAAATGGATGCTTTGCTTGCTTATAAACAAATCCACTCATGTTGAGCCTGTGATCTCAGTGAGTTGATAGACATCTGCAAACAAATTGCCTATCATGTCAAGTCACATGGATGTTCTGTCACATCCTCAACTCACATTAGGCTTCATGTCCATTTAGCTAGATTTTGATTCTGCCTTGGAAAATTTTTTTCAATAGGCAGAATTGTATTTGATTTATTTCAGTAAAACATCTACTCTGTGGCTTGTTTCTATTCCAGTATAATGATATTTTCCTGAATAACACAGCAAGTGATTTAGCGGTTTGTAAAACTGCACTATGTAATAATGCATGACTTGGGGTACAATATGCCAAAATTTATCACTTGACAAAATGAAGAAAGTGAGACATAAGTCAAGAATTTCCATGCATTTCTTTCAAAATGTAAATGATAGATTTTCAAATTAAATTTTCATGGGGTATGCTCTCACATTAATGCTGAAATGTTTAAAAAAAGAAGGCTCTTTGACACTGCTGAACTTATAAAGTAATTTGAGTAGTATTTTAAATTTTCTTCCTGGCTATCATATAGCAAAAGGAGAACAGGGCTTACAGGACTTAGAATTCCTTAACACTGTGCTGACACTAATATAATAGCAATATACCCCTCAATTATGCTCACAAGTACTGACTGGAATGTATACACCAATTTAGTGAGGTGACCTGTTTTGACCATTAAATAATAATACAACTTAACGTAATAATATTTCCTAGGAATTAATAATAAGTAGGAGTTGAGTGCTTTGACTTATTAATTTCATCGTCATTAATTCCCAGGGGGAAAAAATGTACAAGGAGGATAACATGATTATGACCTGATCTTCTTTATTTGTGGATTTTAAATGGATGAGAAAAATTAAAATAGAAAATAGTAATTAACCAGATTGGGAATATATTAATTATCAATCCCTAATATACTTCTCAGCTATTATTAATAACCAAACACAATTTATTTACTGCTTTAGGCATTTACTACATGCTCCATGGGTATTGTGCTTTAACACTGTTTTCTATATGAAGGCATTTGGGAACCAGGACTCATTAAAAATCACTTATTCAGAGACAATGATCTTAAAAATACGTACAATGCCACTTGTATTATACGTTATTATTCTGCAGGGTATAACCACAAACCCATGTCATTATCACCATTTTTATTCATGAGGGGTAACCACAAAAACCTGTCAATATATTAGTGTGACCCCACAGACTGGAAGTTACGCTTCTAGTTTTCGCTTCCTTTGTGGAAAAAAAAAAAAAAGCCAGTGTGCTTGCTTTTTAATGAAAGTGATTCTCTAAGGTTTTCACCTATAGGGCACTATAAGGCCTTCCCAGGTAAATAACTGCCACTCTCCCGTGCACTTGCGAAGCTTTCGTATTCCTGCTCACCTGCTCGTACTCTCAAGGTATAATGGCACTTGAAATCTCAAGCTCTAGTCTCTAGCCCAGTGACTTCCAACAGTTCTTCATTTCAGCCATCAAACTATTGAGGAAGGTAATGCATCCACCTTGGCACCTATTTTCAGGTTCCTAAATCTGCACTGATTTTAGCATTTTCTCCAGGAATATGATGCATCCTCTCCCTTAGCTTAATAGACTCATTTCTATCTAAATGTACTCTAATATCTTTTCATATTATAAGCTAAATATTTAGATTCTGCTTGATCTTTAGTTCATGTTTTGTGGCCCTAAAAAGGTAATTAATTTGACATTTCTTAATCTCACTAATAAATGAATATCAACCCACACACTATTCACTGTTCCCAATATACCTCTTATTCACTGGTCCCATAACAAATAAATTCTTAGAGCAGAAATTGGTCTTTAATTATTTTATAATTCTAATTTTGAGCCTAAGTTTTCATTATAGTGGCTGATTATAGTAGTACTATAGTGATTGTATTCAAATAGCAATGTTTTTATTCAGGTTTTCTGCTAAAAGCATGGAAACATTAAAATATTTCCTGTCTCCATGTAAAGCTATTTGAGTCCAGTTTTTACATTTAATTTGCACTGTCATGGGCTCTCAACAAATGGTAAGATTAAATTTAGGCTGATGGTTTCATTGCAAATATGAGAACCATGGTGCTTTTAGTGGCATGTTTATAAGAATGTAATAGGTTGTATAGCTTTAACATTATCATATTAGTGAGGGATTATCATTAGAGACAATATTTATGGTAACATTTGCTGATTTAATTAATTGCTACTGATGTTCTCATAATTTCATTTTCATTGTACTTCTGTGGAATCATAAACAAAAGGTTAAGTGGCGCATCAAGTTTATTTACTGGCCTTTGATGTTTCCATCTGTGATCGTGCATTAACACAAAGCATAAATAACATGTTTCTCATATGGTGACGGCCCAGAAGCATTCCTCTAGCCTAGAGTGAACTGCATTTTTAGTTCAATTTTTGTGTTTCTCTAATCCACTTAATCCACAAAACATTACACTGACATGGATCTCTGAGTTTCTGTTTTATGAAAACAAATTAGGTCAGCTCAGCTTAGAATGGGAAACGGCCATTCTAAGAAGTGATTAGACAAGAGCATAATTGAAAACAAGGACAAACTATTTATTCAATATTGATAAAGACGTTATAAGATTTTTCATCTACAACTGTGGGCAGACTAGACTTTGCAAAAGAGTTCTATTCTGGAGATAAAATTCCTTAACACTAAAATTATAATAAGCATATTCCAAATAGCCCATGCTGAATTAAAAAATATATTGTTTGTCATGATATTTATTTTCTGAATTACTTGTTGCACACCTTTGCAGAGTAGCAACTTAATAATGTCAATTGAAAGCATTATACCTTTAAGGTCAGCGTTCTTGCCTTGTTCTTTTTTCCTGACCCTCAAAGAATGTACCCGCTAGGGTGATACAAAGGGGCATTCTACATTCTGAACAATGAAATAATTTAAAAACGAAATGCACATAGCATTCGTATGTGGAATGGTTTTCTTGGAATCAGTGTGACATTTCTGGGCTCAGCAGTCTAGATATCTACATGTAAAGTAATTTAAATATATTGTTCCCTAGTTTTTCATGCAATTTCCAGATATTTAAAGATGTGAACACTTTTATACATTGGCTGATTAAACTTGAATCTTATTCCATTTTAATGAATGCCTAAAAACAATCTCTTTAGCATGCTAGTATTTCTCAGACTTAACCTCTGAGTCCTAAGACAGCCAATTTGTAAATAAATGGGTGCATCATCCCTGCCTGCTGAGGGCTGTTTGTGGACCCTTTTGTAAGGGTGACACAATAGCTCTCTCTGGGTACAGTGAGTCATGCCCTTTCTAGCCATTTACCTACAACTATCCCATGGCTCTGGAAATAATTGTTATTTATCTTAATATTATTTTCATGCATAATAACTATAATAAACAACCCTGTCAGTGCCTCCTGGTGGCCATTACTTCTTTTTTTGTTCTACAGAGTCCTGAATCCTGAGGGTCTTTCAAGCTATTTTCTTCTAAATTCCTTTAGAAGTGAGGGGTGGTGGGAAGGGGGAGGGATGGGGTTTTTTGTTCTTTCTATCTCTTATACAGTTTGGATATTTGTCTTTGTTTTTGAAACAATTCTGACAATGACTTGGGTTTTTGGGAATACTTCAGCTTCAATACTGCTTGATAGAAGACTGGGTTATAGTTTAAAAGGTCTGAATTCAAGGGGCAAGTGGCCAAGCCCCATAGACCTTGTTAAATCAAAGTTGGCCATGGCAGGGTCAGGGGTCATTCACTGTGCCACCCAATAAACAGTTACAGCCCAAGAACTCCGTCCAGACTGCAGGCTGCAAGGCCTCACCCCCGTGGCCACTGATTCAACATGTGCCGGGGGTCCGATTCCAATTCCAGGCAGTTACAAATATTATTGTCCTCTTCTGACTAAGAGATAAGACACATTTCGGTTTTGCAGTGACTGCGAATTTCTCAAGCAAACGGAAAAGTTGCCCCATTATACAACTGCAACCCTGTGGCCCTTATGGCAGCGCCAACCAGCCCAGGCGAGCAAGTCCTCCTGGCCCAGGGCTAACTGGGGGCTATTTCACAGTGGAGGTCAAGGCCACTGCCCCTGTGAGCTGGAGGGCTGGGGTTGGAAAGACCTTCACGCAGGTGCCCTGGGGCTTGCTGGCCAAAGCCCACAGTCTCTGCCTGGGCTCCGCTCCTGCCCTTTTCCACCTGCCTGTGCGTCCTAGGACCCACTGCAGGAAGCGGAGTTTGGGTTGTGTGTTTGGGATCCTATTTTGCGGTGTAAAGCCACGAGTCTCAACTTTTTCTTCTGTTATCAGCACTCATTACCTCGCCCCCTTCTTCTCCTCAGCTGAACACTAAAGCAGATTTGTCTTGAATTTCACTACATGTGTTTCCCGGTCTGGGACGCTGCAGGTCTGAGGGTTTCGCTTCAACTCGCTCCTGCGAGACCCTTCTTTCTCCCTCCGGCCCTTGTCTTTCTCCTCGGGTGCGGGTTTATCGCCCTGACACGCCCATTCCAGACTCCCCTAGGCGCCCCCCTCCGCTCCCCCCCCCAATCCCGCCAAAGCGTGTGAGCAAAGACCCCACAGCCGGGGGTCGCTTACTGCTGCTCCGGACTCCCCGCTCCCCGCTAACCACCCCTCGAGGGTCGCGCTGGGTGTAAGCACAAAGCGCGGGTCCCAGACTAAACCGCCCTCTTGGGGCCGGTGGGAGCCCACGTTGGCTTCCGACGCCGAACCCCCAGAGTGGCACAGCGCGCGCCCTCACTTTTGTCCCAGGAGCCTCGAGCCGCTGCGCCCTTTCTCCGCGGGTTCCCACCCATTTCCGGGGTCTCCTCCCTCTCGCCCGCACCTTCCAGCGCTCTTGCCCGCCCTCCCCGCCGCCGCCAGCCCGCACTCACCTGGTTGTTTTTGCAGAGATCAGCCCACATGCTGGTGCCGTCCCCGCCGCGCATCAGGACGTGGTAGGTGAAGAAGTAGATGCCCGGGATAGAGCAGGTGAACTTGCCCGTGGTGGGGTCGTAGTGGTTCCCGAGGTTGGTGACCACGTCGTCGAACTTGAGCACCTCGTAGCCTTCGTGCTGCCGCTTGAGGCCGGCGTAGAAGGCGATCTTGGGCACCGTGCTGTAGGTGGCCGCGCTGATGGCCCCGGCCGCGTTCAGGCCGGGCGCCCCGGGCGGGCCCGGCAGGCCTTGGCGGCCCGGCTCGCCCTTCTCGCCCGGCGGGCCCACGGGGCCCGGTGGCCCGGGCTCACCGGGGGGCCCACGCGGGCCCGCCTTCCCGGGTCTGCCGGCCTCGCCTTTGGGGCCCTGGATGAAGGTGGGCAGCGACTGCATGAGGCCGCGGTCGGGCGTGGCCGCCGTGCTGGGCGCCTTGGTGCCCCCGTAGGGGTCGCAGACCATGCGGCAGGTGCCCAGCATCTCGTAGTGCGCCGACGTGCCGGCCGAGCTCACCAGCACCGGGATGAGGATGACCAGCAGCAGCACCATCACCACCCCCAGCGCCCCGGCGGCGATCAGGCGCCTCCTGCTGCCCACCAGCCGGCTCAGCGCGGGGCGATCCTCTTGTCTGCTTTTGGACAAAATTTTGAAGGTTGGGCGGGGACCTCTTCAGAGCCGAAAACAACCCCCTGCGAACCCCGACTCCCCTGGGCGGGCGGGCGTCGGCCGCTCCCAGGCTGCTCCCGCTCCCCCCGCGAGGCTGCGGCTGGGGAGGGAGCTCGGACGCCTAGTGACTTGAGCTGAAGTCCCGAGCTGGGGGGTGGAGGCTGGGGGAGGGGTGCGCAGTGCGCCCTCCTGTCTCTTTCCTTCCAGCCCCTTCGCACCTGTGGCTGCCGACGCTCGGGGCGGCCGCCCGCCACTAGGAGGGCAGAGCCAGCCGCCGCCTCTTGCGCCCGCGGGCCCGCTCACACTTTTATGCCACTGCCTGCGATCGACTTTTCCGTTTTTGCAGACTGCGCCAGTTCGCACCAACTTTCCCTCTGAAGTTGCCTTTTTCTGCCTCTCCTCTTCTTTCGCTTGCTCTTCCCCTGCTTTTTTTTTCTTCCTCCTTTGCAGCCACCACTACTCTAATAGATGCGCACCCTCAGAGACCCGCGCGGGGAGCGCGAGCGGGGCCAGCCGCTCCCGGTGCTCGGAGGGGCGGCGCGGTCGCTCAGCGAGGCTGGGGCTGGAGCGCAGGAGCTGAAGAGGAGCTAAGGAGCAGCAGCGGCGAGTGCCTCGCGGCCGGGAGCCGAGGGAGAGAGAGACCGAACGTAGACTTCTGCCTGGGTGCCACCTGCCAGCAGAAGAGGAGGCTGAAAACGCGCGCCGGAGCAATTTATAGGCACCCAAGGCGCAGAGGAAGGGGAGCCGCTTTGGCATCTCATTGCAGCATCTGCTCTGCTCATCCCACTCAGGCAGAGTTTGGCATTACTCTGACAATGTGGGAAATTTTTTTTTTCGGCCTCTCTTTCTCTCACCCCCCCCCCCCGCCCCGCACAAGGTTGAACAGTGAGATCCTGAATAATACTCCCTTGCTGAACCCAGAGGATGGCAGCGCTCTCACTGGACGTCCGTGGGGGAGGGAGACAGACGTGCAATGGCCTTCAGAGCTCAAGGGTCACACCTCAGTCCCCTGTGTCACCACTGCCAGCAGCACCAATTGGAAGATGGAGGAGAAGGTTGAAAGGAGGGTGGCTTGGTTGACAATATTTCTCTACAGGCTCACCCACAGCCAGTGTCTCAGGTGTTTTTAAAATGCCACTTTTAACATAAGGAAGGCCCTTTAGAATTGTCCAGATGGTAGATGTGTGGGTTTTTTTTTTTTTAACCTTATGGTTTTCCTCACCAGCCTTCTAAAACAGAATATAAGCTGTTACTCGGAGAACAGTAAGGTGTGTTGAAAAGCCAAAGGACATTTCCCAATTATTTTAAATGAACGTGCCCACCACACAAAGGGGGGAGGGATCGGTTCTTTTTACAAGTGTTACAAATGGTGCGTGTATACATATATGCTCTGCTTACAATTCCAGCAGCCTTTCAGGAGGTACAGCCATTGGGCCCGAAGGTGTTACATGCATGAGAAATGATCACTGGTCAAAATGACTTCAAAAGTCTCAGGCTAAAGCAAGTAGCATTTACCAAAGTACTGGGCAAGATTTTTTCCAAAGGTATGGAACAAGTCCTCTAAGCTCCATGGCACATTTCCTGCCTGTACGTGGGGGATGGGGAAAATAGAAAAAAATATGAGAAGGAAGAGCCTGCGCCGTGAGAGAGCAGGAGAATGAACAGCCTGGATTTATAATACTAATGGAAAGCCCAGGAGTAGATATTAGGCAAGTTATCCCACCAACACACACATAAGACACACAAGAATAGCTTGAAATAAACAAGTAGAATTGATTCGTAAATCATACTTTTGCATTCAGGAGCAATGGATGTCAATCAAACATGGATGACATTTGCTTGTCAATATGGGGATGATGGCTGGGAAGACAGAGACTTACTACATCAGGGCGAGAATGTGAAATGAGAAGCAGGAACAAATTAGACTACAGCAACCAAACAAAACACTAACACCCTGGGTGACGGTGTTGTCTGTGGGCTCCACAGCGTGGACCCTCCTTCTCTGGTTCTTCTGCCTACCCTGACCCCACCCTGTTGTTTTCATTCTTTCTTTCCTGCTTTCAAACTAAATAAGGTCAAATGAGCAGGCAGAAGGAAACAAAGATTCATTGATTCTTTTAAAAGAAATGTCAGCAGTTCCTGCAGGTCTTTCCTGGGAGAATCAACTGTGAGTGTCGGGCAGTGGGGCTCAGCCTGGCCCAGGTCTCCACAGCACCTCAGCCTGGCTGATGAGGCACTCCTGCTGCTGGGAAATACTCCTTCCCACTTCTCAAACCTTTCACTTTTATTATTTATGAATGTGTGTCTATATCTTGGGTATAATTATACGTGTATTTCAGAATATTTCAATTCACGTGAGCTACCTTATTTTCAGATGTTCAAGCAGCAGACACAGTTAAGTTCTGTCCTGGACACAATACCTATTTTCCTAACACATCTTCTGGGTTGCTTCTCAAAAGTCGCCTTCCTTTTGGAAGACAAGGTGGTAAAAAGTATGGTGTCAGCAATGGAGAGCCGTGAGTTACTGACATAAACTGTTCTCTGATACCACCAAATTATCAAACTTCATGAGACCTCTTTATTGCTAAAGAGGGTCCAGTGGGGGAAAAAATCGAGAGTTTTCTAAAGGTAGGATTGTATAAATAAATTCTCAACAAAAGTCTCAAGAAACATGGAGTTTCCTCTTTGAAGAATGCTCATCTCATAGAGAAACCATGTACCTTGGAAGTAACTTCCTCCCCCACCCTGAGGATAATGTAAAATAGTAGAGTTGGAAGGGACCCTAGCAAGCGAGTCTCCAGCTGCTCACTCTGCGAATGGTGAGACTGAGACACAGAGCCTAGAGCAGAGCCAGGCCATCCAATGCCAGTATAGCACACCTCATTTTACTGAGCTTCACAGATACTGCATTTTGTACACATTGAAGGTTTGCAGCAACCACCAGGGAAAAGATTATGACTCAGTGAAGGCTCAGATAATGGTTAGCATATTTTAGCAATATAGTATATTAAGGTATGCATATTGTTTTTTTTAGATTAATGCACACTTAATAGACTACAGCATGGTGTAAACATAACTTTTGTATGCACTGGGAAATCAAGAAATTCACGTGACTCACTTTATTATGATATTCACTTTACTGTGGTCTTGGAACCAAATCCACAGTATTTCCAAGGCAGCCTGTGCACTTCCCGTACACCGTAGTATCGGCACATCCCAACCCAGCCCAAGACCTATGGTAATAGTCCCAGTAATTGAGGCTTTCCTCTTTCCATTTTCTCTGATGCCAAAGCAAAGCTTGATTTTGCAGCTGAGAGCTCTACCATCTCAAAGTTCTGCCGAGGTTTGGAAAGGTGTTCAGTAGTCATCACCCCATGAAGACTTCATCTCCCAGGTCACAAGGCCGACCCCCATCTTTCAGTTGAATGCACAAACCCAGGCAATGCATGAACATTTGTGTGTTTTTTTAGTGAAGTTTAAATTATCTATCTCCTTCCTTTTCTCTAGAAATGCCCCACCATGTACTTTGGAAGTAACTTTTTCCCCCCTACCCCAAGATTTTCAGGGATGACTGAGTAGTATGGCTGGGTACCGCCACTTTCCACGGCTTGAATTTCTCAGAAGGTTCTCTGGAAAGTTACTCACGCTTTAGCCCTGATTCTGACAGTTTGAATAAACCATCTGATATGGCATATTACTCATCATCTTTGCATGTATATAATAATAGAAAATGTGTCAATTTAAAAAATATTTGATTTTCTTCAGTCCTCACCAGAGAACCAAGCTCTCTCTCATATTGGATAGTATTAATTTTGGAAGTAGGCCTTAGAATCTAATTTTTCTTCATCGCACTTCCCGATCATTTATCAAGAAAACACCAGGCCCCACATTCCCTGGGTCTTTGGGACCCTTAAGTGACAAAGTCCAGTACAAAAACCCAGGATCTGGATTGGGTGATGATCCTGTGACTTCACCTTTCCTACACCATTCCTGTCTCTTTCGGAGAACTGAGCAGCTTCTAAGCAGCCGACTCCCACACAGACATGCACGGCCATCCATTAATCTTCACTGAGCACCCACTGGCAGCATAGCTCTACACTGGCTCTTCCCAGGCAAACAAATATTTAGTCATGAGAATTATTTCCAAATCCAGGAGCACTTAAACAGAAATAGCATTTCTTATAACAGGAAAAAATTAACAAGCTCAAGGGCTATCTAGAGAAACAGACAAAAAATATAAAAAATGGGACTGGAATAGCAATTTCTCTTTAATTCCTGGGTCTCCAAATTGTATTTCAGAACAAACACTCCCTTTGACTGAAGAATTGTAGCTTTCCAGCCAGAAAGGGTCAGTCTGTTTGGCATTATGGAATCATCACGCGAAGCTTTGGAACCTGATGGGTCTTAATTTGAATCCTACCTTTCTCCTTTAGTAGCTATGAAAGTTACTTAATTTCTCTGAGACCTGATTTCCTTTTCCAAAAAATGGGAAGAAGACGAAAACCTAAATCATAGGGTTGCTGTGGCGACTGAGTTAGGGCATATCATTTCAATGATATTCAATGTATAATAAGAGCCCAAGAAATGTCAACATTCATCTTAGATATTGTAGGAGTACTGAGGAGAGTGTATGTTCATAATTTGGATGGTAGAAACAAGGCTTATTAATGAAAGGTAAAGCTAAAGGGTCAGACTTAACACAAAGGTCATCAAATGGATAATAAGTATTATGGACTTAGACAAAACGGGAAAGAAAACCAAAGTTCTTCAGGAGAGTTGCCGATAATATAAAAAAAAGGCAGACAAAACTCAAAACAAGGACCACTTTGCCATCCTCTAAAGTAGTAATAAACAGTTTCAAAGCAAGGATGTTTCAATTTGCTGCAGTTTGACAGACACGGTTCTCAGATTTACAACCTAGTAGGAAGCATTAAAACTTGCTTTCTGTCTTCTGGAAAGTTCCCCAAGTCAACAAGTTGCAAGTGTATTTAAAAATCACTGAAGTGGTCATTCAGAAACACTCCTGTGGATGATGACTTTCATCAAAGCAAACACACCAGAGAGGACTCTTTGCATAGTCAGCCAGAAGAGCAAGGGCTCTGAAGGAGACCTAAGTCACACCCGCACTCCGCAGGGAATTTTCAACACAGCCCTTGCCATAGAAGACAGTGAGTTAGAAGGCTAACATGGCAGGTCTGTTGTCAGAAAATTATCGAATTAGCCAGATGGAGGTGGTAATGAGTACATTACATAAGACTCGGTTACAATGTGTGGACTTAAGTTGGTCTCAAATTCTTACTAGTATTGATATGATATTAGATACTTGCTTGAATGTTTGGTCCTTTGACCCTGAAAGTCCTCCAAGCTACAGTAGTCCCCCTTCATCCAAGGTTTCCCTTTCTGCAATTGCGCTTACCTGAGTGGTCAACTGCAGTTTGAAAGTATTAAATAGGAAATTCCAGAATTAACACATTAAGTTTTAAATAGCACACCATTCTAGGTAGCACCATGCCATCTCACACCAACCTGCTCTGACCCTCCAGAACATGAATCATCCCTTTGTCCAGAATATCCACGCTGTACACACTCCCCACCCATTAATCCCTCAGCAGCATCTGTCTCAGTTATCAGATTGACTGTCATGGTATCCCAGTGCTGGTGTTCAAGTAACCCTGAAAATAGCCTAACACTACT